CAGATGACCTGACTGAGCATTATTTGATTTGGTACCTGGATGACTGAGCATGAACTTTGTTGTATGGAGTATGGTGTCTAGGGGAATCAGTTTTGTTTGGTGGCGTCTCAGATTGAGGAAGTCCTTTGGATGAAGGACGCAACGTCTCAGCACAAAAAAAAGAAACCGTCCAGATGACCTGATTGAACATTGTTGGCTGAGAACAAGTTGCACCGATTTGCAGAAAAATGGCACATATAATCCACTCGACAACGTCCTGCAGAGATGCTCTTATTTGTCTAGGCTGAACGTATTTTTGTGATGCGTTCAGGTTAAAAACTGTCATTTGTTTTCCCCTAACCAGACAAAAGAACAAAAAATAAATCAAGTCTGTACACATGTGTCCTCACATAACAAGGTAGTTCATAAAATAAGGGTAACTCAGCACTCTGCAGGGTGCTGCCTGCTTTTCAGTGTGCTGTTGATTAACTACATCCAGAGATGTAGTTACCTTTGACAAAGGCATGCAATTCAATCTGCTTCAGTCTGATTCTTTCTGCTTCACAGACTCTTCCAGAAATCTGCTCCGAACAAGATGAAATGGATTTCCTAATGGAGGCGCTGATTATGAGGTGCACCAAACTCGCATTTACACTTGAGTTCCTGGATGCTCTGTCGTTTTGTTCATCAAAGGAGTCATCCAGCTACACCTTTGTGTTATAAGAGACTTTCCAAACCTTTAAGAAAATGGGGTCGTGCAGTATGCATATTGTTCAGGTGAAATATCACAGTGGATGAGAGGAGCATTAATGTAAACATCAAGGGAAAATTCATATCTGCAGTTGTACGTTTTGAGTCCAGGGGGGAAAACAGTAAAATATTCCATTTTTATTTTGCCTTTAACATACACTAACCATATTTCTCAAACCTCTAAAGAGAATTTTTGTCAAGTTGGAGATATTTTGGATAAAGATGTGGCTTATTTAGAAGAAAAAGGGACTTTTAGTTGGATCAGATCCCCATTTTAGCTGCTGGCATCCAAACAAAAGCTAAATTTCCCATAATAAGCACATTTAATTGGTTCAGTTATCAACTGGAAATGCTAATGTACATTTCAAGAGCAACCACAACAGAATTATTATTTTTTTTAACCAACATTCGGTCTTGTTTTAAGTTAAATGATCAAATGTGCAGCTCTGCTAAACCAGTCCTGCTTTGTTCGCCTTTTGTCCTCGCAGCAAGTTCAGTCATGAGAACATTGTCCGCTGTGTCGGCGTCAGCCTGAACATCCTGCCACGCTTCATCTTACTGGAACTGATGACTGGAGGAGACATGAAAACCTTCCTGAGACAGAACAGGCCACGAGTGGTAAGTCGACGCTGCAGCTTTGTGTTCACCTCTGTTTTTCATAAATATATATATATTTTGTACTAATTTGAGCTGTGATATCATCAGAGCCAGACCTCCACGCTCACCATGCTGGAGCTGCTGCAGATGGCCCGAGACATCGCCTGTGGCTGTCGATACCTGGAGGAGAACCAGTTCATACACAGGTTCAGACCTGCAGTCGGTTTATTTTGAGTGACAGTAAAAACTGTGTCCAGCTGCACAAAATGCAGCGTATCATCACAGGCTGGGCTGTGATCTGTGTGGAGTGCTGTGTCTAAAAGGGTTCATCGGATCTTCTGTCACCATGACTGCAAGAAATCCATCTCCCACTAGGATCATTTCATTTAAAAACGTCTAAACCTTATGCATGCTCACAACCACACACAAATAGAAGCAGGGATGCTTATGTAGGCTTTATATGTAGATATATAGATATATAGATATATATGTGAATGTATATTCATGTGTATGTATGTATGTATATAGGCGTAGGTATGGGTATATATATTTATGGAAACTTACTGCAAAGCCATGAATATTTTAAGTTCTTTATACATATGTATTTTGTTGCTGTGTTTTGTCATGTTCTTTGCAGGTGAACAGACAGTGGCCGGGTGTTTTGCCGTGTGCTCTCTTTGTGTATATTTCTTATATTTTGGAGTCTTACTTTGTCTTTTCTTTCTTTCTATCCTATTAAAAAAAAAAAAAAAATAAAAAAAAAAAACCTACACTAGATAGTCACTAGAATAAATATTTCATAATAATGGTGTGGAGAGGATGGCTGTACGGGGAGAAGGGAGGCCATCTAAAAAAAATTAAAAAATAAATAAATAAACGTCTAAACCTTTACTTTAAACCTTATAAAGTTGTAAAAATCTGACCATTTGAAACACTGTTGCACATCCAGTCACCGTTTATTCGTATTATTCATCGTCTGTCTTGACATGCAGGTGAAACTGTGCCAATTTTCAAACAAATTTAAGACAAAACAACGAGAATCAGAGTAATAGGACTGGACAGATTTTCAAAAGGTTATTGTTCTTACAAAGAGGCTTTTATTCTAACAAATGTATCGCTTTTTAGAGACATTGCTGCCAGGAATTGCCTGCTAACCTGCTCTGGAGCAGAGAGAGTGGCTAAGATTGGGGACTTTGGCATGGCTCGGGACATTTACAGGTTTGTTTACTGACAGCTATGATACATTTATGTGATGTCTTTCATGGGCGCCAAAAGTTGTTTGATGTGGTCATTAGTGGAATAGAATATTAATAATCTTGGTTTTACTCAGGGGGCAACAATGCTGCTTACATTCTATTTTAAACTGGACATTAAAACTCTAATATATAACGTATTTCTGCTTTTTCTTTCATTTCAGGGCCAGTTATTACAGGAAAGGTGGCCGTGCCATGCTGCCTGTGAAATGGATGCCCCCTGAGGCCTTCATGGAGGGAATCTTCACCTGCAAAACTGATACCTGGTATAATAACAGCATATTTACACTAATATATACACTTATACTTGGCAAAAAGGAACAGAGTTTGAGTTAAATTTAGACACTTAAATTAAAGAAACAGCTGTTGGGAAGTGAGACAAATTACTGTTTCTGAGGATCAAGTGTTCAAACTAACGTTGGCACATCAGCATCTGGCAACACCATTTAAACAGCAAACAACTTCTACCATATGGGCCAAGTCAAAAAGTCAAATTAACAACATATATGTGAAAAGGTTTTTTCCTTAAAAAAAAGGTCAGTGTAAAATGAGCCAAGAAATGATGCAAAGATCCGCATTCATTCAACAGGTGAATAACATTTAAACAGAGCAGTGTTGGACTGAGTGATTGTGATGCTCCAGAGTATTAAACCGTCAAATATGGGAATTAACTATTGTTATGAATAATATATAATGCAACTAAATGTAAAGTCAAACCAGAGCTATGATCAGAAAACAATTTAATTGCTTCTTGATGGTTGAGATGTAAACATTTAACCTGAGCTCACCACGTTGGATTCATTTTTGTGTATTTTTTTTTTTTGTGTGTTTTGGTTGTTTTCTCATCCTGAAGAACATTTGAGCACAAGATTCAGAATCTAACAGACTCGTCCCCTCAGAGTTGATCTGTGTCTCCTCCTGCAGGTCATTTGGGGTGCTGCTCTGGGAGATACTGTCTCTGGGTTACATGCCTTATCCTTGTAAAACCAACCAGGAGGTTCTGGAGTTCGTCACCAGCGGAGGCAGGATGGATCCTCCTAAAAGCTGCCCGGGGCCTGTGTAAGTAATTATGAGCGGCCCTTTAGACCATCATTTATTAAATGCACTTACAAAAAGGTGCATAAAATACACTTTTACATTTATTATTTTACGTCTGTTCTGTTAAGTTATCGGCTCATGACCCAGTGTTGGCAGCACTGTCCTGATCACCGACCCAACTTCTCAACTATCCTGGAGAGAATCAACTACTGCACTCAGGTGACTTCATCTTAACTTTGTGTCCATCACTGCATGAAATCACCAAATTTCATGTTTTTCTATTTGTTTTTAGAACCTAAAACTTGTAATCTAGCTGTGTCTTAACTTTCGTCAGGACCCCGATGTGATAAATACGCCCCTACCTGTGGAATACAGTCCTAACACCGAGGATGATGGAAGCATTGCGATGCGTCCTCCTGCCGCTGCCTCTCACATCCTCAATCCACTGCTGGTCTCTCATCCCATTTGTCAGGATTTGCCTCCCCAGCTGGGTTTCTCCCCCAAGGGCTTCACAGCACCTGTCCTCCCCCCACAGCCCACCAAACCACGTCTTCTCCTGCAGAGAACCCACCCAGTCCACCATGAGGTGACATCATGCTGCGAGCTGCTGGAGCCGTCCTGGGCTGAGACCGTTCCCGCTCCCGGACACGTCCTCCACCCTGAGCCTCCCCATCACCCACCCTGCTCCAGGAACAGCTCCTCCTCAGGGAGCCAGAGGCTGAAGAACAAGACGAAGAACCTCTGGAATCCAACATACGGTTCGTGGGTCTTGGAAAGCTTCAGGGGGAAGAAGACACTGGTCCACACTCAGTCTGTGCCACTCTCTAGCAACACCCCCAACTCCCAGTCCTGCAGCTCGGCTACAGAGAACAACAAGGCTGTTTGTAGCAGCACCTACCTCAGCTCCATTTCCTCTTCCACCTGCCAGATTCAGGCAGCCCCAACATCCCAAAAAACCCCAGCGGGTGCCACTTCAAACCCTGGGATGAACCTGGCGAAGCTCCAAAGTTTCCCCTGTGGGAACGTCAACTACGCTTACGATGACCAGAGCTACGAGGCGGAGAGCCTGCCGATGGTTACGTCCAAAGCCTCAGAAGCCATCACAAACACCAGCTCTGCTCTGGGTGTTCCTCCAGGAACCTGCCTCAGTCTGACACCAGGGTTTCATACCTCCTCATCCTCTATGCCTAAACTCCTGCTGAAGCGCCACAGCAGTTGCGGACACGAGGACATGAAGAGATGTACCAAAACCGAGAAGCCCACACGTGATCGAGACTCTGGCTTCTCTCTGTCTGAAGACCTCAGCGTCGCCCACATCTAACGAGGGTTTGGATTAAAATATGAACAACCAGAAACCTAACGAAAGGACTCAAAAACAGAATATGGCCATCGGATAAAACTATTACAGCTCCTAGAATGCTGGAAAACACCGAGATAGACACAAAGAAACTGTATTTTGATACGACGTCCATGCTGTAATCAGACATGAACTGTGGCCTTCTGGTAGCTAAACACTGAACCTGAAACACTGAGCAGCTTGTCGTCGAAATGTCCAAGAATCCCCTGCTATAAAAACTTTTCCCCTTTGTCTAATGAAAGCTTTGGCAATATGTATTTAGTTGGAGCATTTATACAAGGAATGATATTTATTGAAGCTGGAGACAGATAACGTTTGAACGTCCACCCAAACAGTATTTAGCAATTCTGAAGAACTTTGGAAGCAACTGCTATCTGGAAAAAAACAGCCAAAGATGGTTTGTCTTTTCCTAATTTACCCATTTAACAAGGTTTACAGTGCCATTGTTTGTTCTGCATTACTCTAACAGTGAGTTCTGTCAGACTTTTCATAAAACGTAACTCCAGTTTCTTCTTCCTCGTTGCTTTCTGTGGCAGTAAAATGATCTTTTCCCACAGAGAAGCATAGGGCAGATAGTCCTCACTGTAAATCATATTTTCCTCATAGATCTTTATTCATGTTGAACAATAACTTTAATTTCAGAGTAAAACACAAGTAAGTTGTTACACTTAATGTTGATTTAAATAGGAAGTGGAAGTCCTTCATAAGTGATTATTTGTGTACTTGAAACTTTTCACCTATACTTTAATGTGTGCCAAATTATAGCTTCCCCCATATAATGTGAACATCTAGTCTCCTAAATGACAGCGGTGACGTGTATTTCATGGCACGTAAGGTATTTATTTTCTTTATTTTTACATCATGTTTCATTTGGACAGTATTCAGACTGATGGTTCAAATGTGTCTCAGCCCAGAGCTCCCAACTGAACACAGTTGAACAGGACATAAAGTCTTGATTAGAATATTTTAGATATAAAATACAGAACTTTGCAGAAGGTTTGCAGATCTGGTTTTGGCGTTATGCTACAGAGCAGCTTCTTTACTGTCACTTCCTATGAGTTTAATAAGTGAAGGATTTTTTATTTTATGTACTAATGTTTACCTGGCCTGCAAGTGGTCTATAAATACACATAAAATTATAATTTATTATAATAATTGTAAAAAAAAAAAAACCTAACTAAACTTCACATCTGTGGATATATTTGCCTTCATTTTGTACACTGGATGAACCTGTTTTATTTGTAGCTTTCTATTAGAATATTAATATTTTCTGTATTGTAGTTAATCACTGCCTTGTAAAATATTTGTGTTCATCCAGCAGGTAGAGGACTTCGGTTTTTGAAAACCAAATGATATGCTGCAAATAAACTAGTTTTATAAATATTAGTCATTATAGGGTTAAAATGTGGACATCTTTATTCAGTATTCACATTTAGAGTTTTGTTTTTATTTAGGAAGTTTAGTAGCTAATATTGGTAATTTTGTAAATGCTGTTTTTATTATAAATTGAAATAACTGTATATGTATATATATATATATATATATATATATATATATATATATATATATATAAATTTTTTTATAATCATGATACATGATATGATGATATATCATGATATCATCATGTCAGTTATCATGCTCAGGCCAGCTGAAATGAAACTAATGTGTTCGAACACCCTTCTAAAAGTTAATTGCAGAATGTTTTTACACGAGTAGGAAAGGGTACATTTAAGTTTCAGAGCTGTATCTCACTCTCATCTCAAAACTTTATTCAACATTTTAACCGAAATTTAAAGATGTCACAAATGAAAAAGTGACGTTTAATCTAATTTTTTTGTTTAACTTCAATATTTTTCAAATAAATCAACATTTTGTCATTTTATTGCTGTTTTTTGCGTCAAAAATAAGCAGTGGAAAGGATGTTTACGGGGGGTTTTTTTTGTTAGAATTTTTTTAAAGACCGAATTATGTTGCATCTGATTGAAAACAATTAATTGACCTATTCTGTAATATTTCTGATGAATTTTCTTCATGTTCTGGTGTTCTCGTGGTCAGTAACCCATCTGATAAACCTGTAATTGAACAGTTGGAAGCCAACATTGCAGCTGTGAAAAATATTATTTTTATACTCACTGCTGTAGACCGGAGCAACCCACTGGATTTGTAATATTTTAAAAACATTTGTGTTTGTTCATGTTTAAAGTTATTGTCATGTTGTGCCTGTATTCAACCAGTATCAATCTTTTTTTTCTGTCAAAGCAAGTCATTCATGTAAAATCTGAACATTTCTTACATGAATTTATGTTTTCAGTTCATTTTTATTTACTTTAATAGTTGCTGCCTTCATGACCACGTGAAACCCAAACCTGCCTATAGTATATTTTTATTACATCTTCCCTAGGCTTACTGGAAACATGAATGTTTTGATTTCCAGCTGTTGACTTGTAAATAAATTTTTTGGAAAATACTTACCAAAATGGCTCTTTCTAAAAAATAATAAAAAAGTATTAACATAGAACTCCTCTGTGAATCTTCATCTTACAGCTGTGGAGGAGTTTGTGTGCCTGAATGATCCTTGGAGCGCTGCTGTCGGGGACACGCTGGAGAGACTTGTCTGGGATGTAGAAGTTTTAAGAATGGAAAAAAAAAAAAAAATGAAGCCCTTTCTTATAAGAGTATATTTCCAAAACCCTGGAGCGTTTCATTTTACCCTGTCTTCAAAATAATCTCATTTTATATAAACTGGCGGCACCTCAAACCAATAAAAATCAAAATGATGAAATGGGTTTCATGAAAATGAATCAGTGTTTTCATATTCACCTCATTTAGTTTGTGTGGATTACAGTAAAGAGTGGACTCAGTCTGTGCTGATGTAGAAACCAGAGAGTGTTTTACCTTCAAACAGTCTCCATTTTAATTTCACTTACATCTTTCATTTCATTGAGCTTTCATATTATCACACTGACAAATGGTGGCGCAACGACTCTTGCAGTAATAATTGGAGAATATATACTTTGTAATATAATATATATATATATATATGTAAGTCTGTAAAATACCTTTTTTAAGTGTAATCCTTTCACTGCTTTTCTGTGAGGTGGTATAAAGCTGTAGTCGTGCAGCTGTCAAGAGGTAGGGTAGCCGACTCAGGACCCAAAAGTCTCAGGTTCAATCCCCAGCCTTTCCCACATGTTGCCTCTGAGCAAGACACCCAATCCCTAATTGCGCCACAGGTGCTTACATAGCTGCCCACTGCTCCACCTGTGTGCATCTCAGGTGCAATGTGTTAAATGCAGAGAACTAATTTTGCCATTGTATAGAAAAATACAATGATGACAACACATAATAATAATAATAATTATTATTATTATTTGTTCTGCCGTTCAGTCACTGGTGAGCAACTTTCTGATTATTTTAGTCCCATCAGTCAGTTTCAGTATTCATTCTAGGAAGGTGAAAGCCTGAGTGTGTTGTGGGCACCTTCTTTGTGCTTTGATGAAGCATAAATCGCCCAAATCAAACCAGGATGCATAAAACCACCCGTAAGATGTTTTTGTGAAGCTCATCGGAGTTCATTTTAGTTTCTTACAAGTTAAAGGTCACACAGGCTGTGTGTGGTCTGGCTGTTCTTCTTGTCAACAAAGCCACCAGTTTCTTCGTTGCTGACGGACCCCAGAATGTGGAAAAGGTTTTCCAGCCCCCACAGGTACCCATCCTCCCGGTTGCCTTCCTGCCAGGGAACATCGTGACTTAAAGTCTGACCCTTTGGTAGCGCTGTGGTTTTGCCGAAGTCAATAATCCAGATCTGTGCGTTTCCCGTGTGGTCATGGACGAAGAGGAGAGAGCTGCCGATGACCTGAGGAAGAAAGGACAAGAATTAGTTTTAGCTTTTGTATTTCTTCCTTTTCTGCACATGTTTACCAAGAATTAAAAAAACATAAATCCGCATTAAAGAGGAAAAAACATAGTTTCCCTGTAAGGATGTGGGCTGCCAGGACAGCATCATGCTCATCCTTCAGCACCTTAGGTGAGACATATTTAAAAAGTTTCAAACACAAGAGCCCCAGACTCTACTCTGAGCTTCAAATTTAAATACCACTGTGTCAAAATAGCTGTGTAGGCCCGCCCCTTTTGATTGACACCTCTTTTAACCACCTGAGTGAGTTATAGTCTCTCTGGCAGTGGCAGCTTTAGCCTCTTTTTGTGGGTGTTCAAGCACCCCCTAAATTTTACCTCAGCACCCTTGAAAAATAAAGAAACCATCATTAGGATTTTGTAAGGAAACAGTTCTCAAACCTTAGATTCACCAAAATATTTAATAAATTGGAAATAAATGTGGAGTAAATTATGACACTCTTGAACGTGCCAGTAAAATTTATGATTTTTTTTGGCACGAGTTGGCTCCTCGACGCCAAATCTCAATCAGTCCAGTAGGCTCGTTGAGCAACTGACCAATCAACGATCACAACTTGTCCCGAAGTGAAACACCCCTTATATGTTCAGGAACTACAAGTATAAATAAATATAAGTATAAATGCTATATGATGTCCATACAATGACAAAATTGGTTCTCAGCATTTAACCTATTGCACTTGGGATATACCCAGGTGGAGCAGTGGGCAGCTAGTGAGTGTCCTGGGAGCAATTGGGGATTAGACGTCTTGCTCAGAGACACCACGACATGTGGGGTTGACTGGGAGTCGAGCCGTGGCTTTCTGGTCCTGGGCCGGCTGCCTTGCCTCTACCCCATCTCGGTCCCCCCTTTTCCCTTTGACAACATTGTTGAAGTTTTGAAATTATGAACGCTTTGCAGCCAGAGGGATTTTGTAAAAAATCATCAGGAAAATATGATTAAACATCAGTGGGGAACATGTAATTCAAACAGAGTTACCCTGAGTGGAAATACAGTTTATTCCATTTCAAAAACCTAAGCAGAGTCTGGAAAAATGTAAGACTGATAACAGCTGGAGGTCGACCTGATGGTCAGCTGAACACAACAGTGATAAACAGGAAGTACCACATGTTCATTTGTACGAAGGTAACTGCAGGTAAATCCTGCATTTTCTGTCATAATTGTATGATTAATAGTTACAGTCCCTGTGATGGACTTGCGAACTGTCCAGGGTGTACCCCGCCCCTCGCACAATGATTGCTGGGCACCGGTGATCCCCGTGACCCAAATGGAAGAAACGTGTAAAAGATAATTGATGGATAATAGTTACAGTAAATTAAAGGTTAACGCTTAAAGCTAGTTGTGCTTTGTTTGGTTTGTTTTAAATGTAGATATATGTTGCAACTTCTGGTTGCATAAGTTTAGTCTTTGTTTGCTATGATCCTTTAAGTCCTATTTGTGACTGAACTCTTCGTTTATGGCCACACCACCCTGAACATGCCCAGTCTCGTTCGATCTAGTCTGATCTCGTGAGCTAAACAGGGTCAGGACTGGTTAGTTCTTAGATGGGAGACCGCCTGTGAATACAAGGTGTCCTAAGCTTTTGTATTTCTCACAAACCACACCATGGGGTGCGTTGTTCAAACCAAGAGCCATTGTCAGTACTGGGGGCTAAACACCCCAAAAGGTCAGATCCTAGAATCGCCCCTGCTCTCCAGAGCCCATAATATTCAATGAATAACTAGAAGTTAAAGGTACAATCATTTTGACTATTGTGGTCAAACCTTCAACAAATTACCTTTACAGAGTGACTGAGTATTTTGTGTAATCTGAAGAATTCAAGAACAGCATTTAATTTAATTTGTGTTGGCTTGTTTTCAGACTTTTTAGGCATTTTGGGTCAAGTGTATAAAACTTATCTGGAGTGACGAACACCAGTTTTCAAAGGCCATTTTGTTGTAGATTATTGTGTAGCCTACAATTTATGAATTTGTACCTATTAAATCATTTACTGACATGTAAAATGATAAAAATGCACATAAAGTGAATTTTAATGCTTTTAAAACATAGCTCTTTTTATAAATTTTTTTAGATACCGTATGCGCATTAGTGTTGACGTATTTAAGTGTTAGTCAGTTTTGTGGTAGTTTGACGAAAACGAGCTCAAGCGACCTTGTATTGGGGTAAGTCAGGGAGTTGCTGTGCCAGCGGTTTTTATTCCTGTAAAACCGTGACTCATCTTCACGGTCATATCAGTCCTCACCTCGTGACTCCTGAAGAACTCTGACGTGTTCAGGGTTTGCCGGATCTCTGTCAGTCTGTGCAAATAAGACGTCTGTGTTTCAAGGGGAGGAAGAAAAGACAAATATATTATGTAATTACATCCTGAACCCAAAAGTTAAGGTATCTGTAGCACAGTGAGGCGTAGTGTGTGGATCTGAAGAGCAAAACTCAGCCAGCCATGCAGTGTTAATATTTACTGTGCAGATCGGATTGCTCTGCTCTTACTGTTCAAATACTAGAAGTTTTTCTTCTATTTGTTATTAAACCATCCCTAATATGTCAAATATAAGCACAGAGATGATAAAATGATTGACTTAGCCTCGTTTAAACTGTGAACACAGATGTGAGAGCTGGCACAGCTCGGGTTTATAATCACTCATGCATTTCAGGTGACGCCTGTAACTGTGTGTATATTACTGCTGTAAGGTCATCTGTGTGTGTTCTTAAATAAAGTAATACTCTGTAAATGTGCATAAAGAAGCTAAGTGACTGCCACATACTATAATGCTGAAGTCCCCTCCGACAAAGTCCTTAAACACCTTGATGACTTCCTGCTTCGATCGGGTTTTCTTGAAGTCAGTTCGACATGAACCATCATGTTTCTGAAAGGAAAAGATTAAAAAAAAACTTTATATCACAATAAAATGTCCTCTATCAAGATTTTATGTTTATATTTTCCTCATAAAATCACAGAATACAGTTTCGTTTGCTGTTTTGCATCATTCTGCAGCACATAAAAGAGTTGTGTTTCTGCGATCTGTCTGCATTTATGTGAATTCTTTAAAGCTGCAAAAGCTTTAAGTTAGAAAGGAAAATAAACAGGACTGTGTCCTCATGGAGAATAATCTGCAAAGATTTATGAGCATATGGAGGTTTTTAATATGTTCTTTGTTTCTCATAAATCTACATGTAATACAGTAGTCCCTCGTTTATCACTGGGGATCCATACCATACCTGGAAGCCCCATATATATATATATATATATATATAATAGAAACAGCCTTTATTGTCCCACGATAAAAAAAGTTTCACACAAACCGTTCCTAAAATGTTTTAAAAATAACAATATATAAAGAAATAAGATAAACAATATCAATAATAATGTTCAATATGTATTGAACATTGAGAATGGCATTATATAAATATAAATGTATTTTAAATCCTTCCCACAATTTTGCAGTATTCTAAACAATGTTTCTAATCTAAACTTTCTAAAAGAGCACAGAATGTCATGATTTCAGCTCTCTGCCTCCTGCTGCACTCTCGGCCACGCCCACTTCGCCGCTCTGCACGGAGATCAGCTGATCAGCTGCAGGAGGAAGCTTGCAAACAGGTGCTACATCATTCAAAATCGTTTACTTTAAATTTTAAAAAATCCATGCCGATCGTGCTGCTCATCCATCAATCAGCCGTTGTGTCAAATGCTGAAAAACCGCGATAGAGCGAGTCCGCGAAAAATGAACCGCGAAGTAGTGAGGGATTACTACACTCTTGATTTGTTTTTTAAAGGTGCGTCTTGTTAATCGTTGTGGATACTTAGTCATCAGACGTGTTGTTCTGAAACTGGCAGCTCTGCTGCACCTTTGGAACAAAGAAGTTCACGCCTTGTGGTCCGAGGAAGCTCCTTCTTTATCGACTAACTTGTTCTCCTTTCTTCTCTATCAAGTTTATGTACAAGTGGACAAACATAAGCTATTTAATGCCTTTATTAAGAAAAATTCAAAGTAGGGGAAGCAAAACTGTCAGATTGTATAAAAACACTTGATATATTTTCAGAATGGTGAGTGTGAATAAAAGTATCACTGGGTTTACATCATCCCTGAGTGAAACATGGCAGGCAGCTTCATCCTGCAGAAATGTTTGTTGTCTTAATATAATTGTGCAGTAGAGACTGAGGCCAGCAGAAGATACAAATGCAAAGACTAAAAAAATTAAAGCTAAGCAAAGAGAAATTATTTTTCATACAGCCAGAATCTCTGATTAGCATCAACCTTGAGTCTAAATGTTTCTGCTGCGAAATGTCAGAAACATCATAGTGACCCTGTCTCTTCATTCTTAAGATGTCCTGCTAACAAAATATACAAAACAATCTGCTCAGGAACTAAAGATGCTTTCCTGTTAAACTGAATGACACCATGTGACGTGGCTCTGCTGCTTCACACGCACCTCATGCCTGTGCACAGATTCAAAAACATGAGAATGACCACTAAAAACCGAATCATGGTCCTCAACCACAAGTTGATTTTGATTTTTATTTGATTGGGTTTTTTTTTTTGTAGGCCTGCACTACCTTGATCCCCTCTATCCTGAAGCCCAGAGTGTTGCTGGAGCTCATGGTCTCCCTCCACTGCATGTAGCGAGGTTTGGTGACGCCTCGCTGGGAGTGCTCCTCAGGAGTCGGGCCCTCTTTGTCCACATCCACCATCTTCTTGTACAGGTCCTCCCGAGGTTTGGGTCGCTCTCTTGCTCGAACAAGCTCCTCCTCCAGGTATGTCCTTTAACAAAAGGAGAGGGAAAACGCTTGTTTCTACATTCTAACTGTTTATGTGTTCAGATATATATATAGTTTTTTCATTCAACCTTTAATTATACAGGTTAATTCCACTGAGCCTCGGTGACTCATAAGAGAGACCTGATTTTTTTTAACAAAGCTTTACACTACATTGTTTTATTGGTACCACTTTACAGTAAGGCTCCCCTTATAGATGCTAATAAATAGTCTATAGATACGTCATTAATTCCTATATAAACACTTTATAAATCATTATTAACTGCTTATTATGCATTAATAAAGGGTGACAGAGACAAAACTGACCAGTTTCTTGCCACATCTGTTCAGCTATATGTCTCATCTAGAGTTGTTATATTAAACATTTCAGACTAAGTTACTACCTTATAAGCACAATAAACATTTGTTAACCTATTTCTTTAGCATATAATATTGCACTTTATCCTGCATTATAAGTATCTACAACTAATATTATATCTTAAAAAATTAGGTTCACAAATGCTTATTGTGCTTACAAGTTAGAAATGTTTAATATAACAACTCTAGATGAAATATATAGGTGAACAGATGTGGCAAGAAACTGGTCAGGTTTGTCTCTGTCACCCTTAATTAATGCATAATAAACTATTATGATTTTTAAAGTGTTTATAGAGGAATTAATATTAATAACGTATCTATAAGCTATTTATTAGCCATGTATAAGGGGAGCCTTAATGTAAAGTGGCACTGTTTTATTTCTAACAGTGACATGTTTGTGTTTAAAGGTGTAAAAGCTGCAACATGCTTAGCCGTGAACGCCACACGATGCATTCTTCTTTATTTCACTGCTGTTGCTCGTACTCACAGCGAACAGATGTAAATTTCAGTTTCAGTTTGTCGCCTACACTTCCTCTGCTCTGAAGAGGGAAGCTGCGAGGAGACTCCAGCTCTTCGCCGTGCGAAAGTGCGTGTTCGCGCAAGTTGGCGGTTTGGCAGCTCTGTGGTCGAGAAAGGGGAGCCTCCAGGGACACCCTGAGTTTGCAAAATGTGTTTGTGCGTTCGGGCAGAGCGTGCGGACGCACGAAAACACGGACTGCACGAACAAAACGGTCAATGTGTGTTTGTGTGCGAGATTAAAGCGCACACGTCTGATCGTTCGGCGTGTGTGTGTGTGTACAGGTTGAACATTGTTTGTATCCGCTGCATGTCTGTGCATGCAAAATCATGTTTGAACTCATGATGCGTTCATGCATGTGTGTGTCTGTGTGTGTAGTTGTGCACAGGAGAGAGCGCGGCCCTCTGTGGCAGGAAGCCAAGCGTGCAGGCTGCAGTTACAACAGGTGTTCCCTTATAGAGCAAACCGCGTCAGGCTGTCACTCATCAACACTTGTATTGATATTTCATGTCCACAGAGCTCCAGTGTTGATCGCAACCATAAAAACAGGGTGCAAAGAAGAAACGCAGGCGAGAACCCTGCACGGAATCACATTCGTCTTAATGTCTGCACATAAAAGAGTAAATAAAATCTGTAAATGCAGATAAATAGTGACGTCTGGTTTACCTCACTCCCATTTTGCAGTCCATCACGTTGGGATGATCAAAGCTTGCCAGCAGGTCGGTCATCTGCAGGAAGGACTCTCCGTCCTTTTCCACGACGCCGTGGTAACCGGGGACGAACGGGCGCAGCTCGTCGTCCCGCAGCTTCTCGAAACACTGCATCTCATTTTCTGAGAACTTCTTCAGAATGGTGCCCTCATCTGCGGCTTTGAAGTTGCCTAAGATGAAATTTAAATAAAAAAAAAAGTTTCATGCTTTCAAGACGCCCTGACTTTAACGGACAACACGAACAGATGGGAGGTTTGGGAAATGTGAAATTATGGGATGTTTTATCAAATTCAAATGACTGCACCGAGATAATTAACTTGATTTGTCTGTGATGACAAACTGAACACGTTTTTATTCTTTGTCAGCGGACGTATTTCCAAACAGTAAGTGAACACAACTGGAAAACAGAAGAAGAAATATTTTTACAATTCAATTGTTTTCATTTTTTTAATTTTCTATAAATCCCAAACAAAAGATTCACGTCAACACAATGACCTGATTTATATTTATAATAAAACTAAACCTGTTTTCTTCTGTATGAAAGCAGACATCTCGTGGTTTGTTCATCTTGACTGGTTTTATTCAAATCTGGTTTTATTTTTAAACCGTCTCCCACGAAGACGTTAGTGAAACTTTGAGCTGTTTATTTTTTTAAATAATGCATTAAATTTTTAAGTTAAAAACAAATAATAATTGCCTTAAAATTAGTATTTTTGTTACTATTATTTGTTTTTCGGATTAAATAAAAAGGTTTTTTATGTTATTAACACATTTATACTTGTTTAAAAAGCAAAAGAAAGTAGAACAATATAAATATTTCTGCGTCAAGACGGTAACTTAGTTATGTGGGAAACTGGAAACAAACTCATAAAAAAATGTTAAAAAACAGGAAAAATATTTCTGATTTTAAGAAGCGCTCGTTCAAGCTGTCACTCAGCACAAATAACTTTTTGTAAACTTGTAAACAATAACAGCTTTTCCATCAGAGTTAAGTCAGGTCCTCTGGACGGCTTCTTTTTGTTGAAACGTTTCGTCTTTCATCCAAAGGACTTCGTCAGCCCGAGGAGCCGCAACAAACTCAGTCTTATAAATAGCACCTTAACAAAGTGCAAGGGTCTGCAGCCTTTATGATCAAAAGATCCATTTCTGCCCCTTTGTTCACTAAATTAAACGCGTCCGGAACCACAATACCTGCTACAACTGGGATTCTCAACACAGACCACTTTAAGTTTGTTGGAGGGCGCTTTTCTAGACAGGGGCGATTTTATAAAAGTAAAAATATCTAATGATTTTTAACATTTATTGATATTTTTACAGTCTAAGACAAAATAAAAGATGAGATTCTTGTAAAGAGGGAAACAAATATATAGTTTTTGCCCAGTTTCTAAAAACTAAAACAATAAACTTTGCATTCTTATTATTTATTTTTTTTGGTAGAAATATTACGTATCCTACTTTGAAGAAATAAAGCATAAAGTGAAAGTTTTACTCCTTGTAATGTATTATTCATACATTTGCTAAATAAATGACAGTAAAACTACTAAAACTAGCCCTTTTAGTTGTTATAACAACCAATAAAATTAAGTTTGATGTCAGTTTTGGTCAAAGCTTGAAGGAGCCGCTGCAGAGGGACCAAAGGGCCGCATGTGGCTCCAGAGCCGCAGGTTGCAGACCCCTGACATAGTGGGTGATATAATATAGGCTATACAAAGCTTTTTTTTTTTCATAATATAAAATTATAAAATGCTCGTCACTGCAGGAACACCATCTGTACTTTATTAAATTCTGTAAAGCGGTAAACAGTTCAATATCTGTCTGAACGGGTCCGGACGTTTGGTACCTTTATGCCCGGCGAGCTGAACCCAGTTCAGTTTTCTCCTGTGGGCGGCGTTGAGGGGCCAGCGGACGTACGTCTTCAGCTTCCACCAGGGTTTGCTCTAATTCAGACATGGACGAAAAGCAAAGATTTAAAATAATAATAATAATAATACAACTTTCAAAGTAACATAGTTGAAACATACACTTTGTGTTTGTGTATTCAAGTGTCCATCTGAGTGTTTCTAATCCCACAAGGGTTAAAAAGTGATGAAACGTGTTGAAATCCTCTCTAAAATATCTGAAGGGATCACTCTGATACTAATACCTGATCAATCTGATGCCAGACTTTCTGTTTTCCTCTGAACAGCTCCAGTCTGGGTCATGTTAAAGCATTTCTTTGGAAATTGCCTATCTATGGCAACGTCCTCACTCTTTTAAATCACCTCCTGCTTCACACCAGGACGGTGAACTCAAATTTAAACACATTTTTTAATAGAGCAGGAAGGAAAAATCAAACTTTGGTGCTTGTTGTGAGAAATGAGAGCTGTTTGGTTTTTCAGGTCTGACATTTTGGTTTTAAAAGGGGGTCACTTTATTGTGTGTCGTGAAAGAAACAGGAAATGAAAGAGAGACTCATGATGAACAGCTCGTGCCTCGCTCCTCATCGTCAGAGTCATCACCGGCCGCAGAAATCTGCAGCGGGGCTCTCGTAAATGTCAGATACGGTTCATGACATCTCCGGTGTGACGTGCAAAAATGTTTCGGCTCTGATTTAACGCGGACAGAATTAACCAATAGTTCAGATTCAGCCTTTTCTCACGTATTCTAATGTTGTTTTTGGACGATCTTCCTGACAAAAACCTCCCTTTCTGCTCCTTCCATGGAGTCAGACTAAAGCTGGTCCTCCTGGGCGCTACTTCATGAAAGCAGAGTGGGAAAAAAAAGACGCATTTCTTGAAGGAATGCATATCGCCCGCCACCTCAAGTTTTAAACCAAGCTCTATTGGTGCTCTGAGCATGTGTTGGGGATGACTCTCAGCTACTAACACGCCCGATTTCAGCTCAGTATCTGTCAAATTAAATGAGATGGAACTATTTCTATTAGCTGCTGCAGCCATCTTGAACTGGGTTAGGCAAAATAATTAACCCAGGACAAGAGAAGGAACCTGATCTTGGCCAAGCCTCGTCAAAGCATCCCAGATTAACAGGTTTCAGAAACAGCTGCAGTGATGCAGATCAACCCTAGATGGGTTTTAAATGCTGATTTTTGAAGTTTGTTTTGTGAATTTGGGCCCCGAACTTTAAAATGTCCATGTTAAATGTTAAACCTAAAAGTTTCTGGTTCTTACAGTTATCCAACAAATGTGTTGTTGTGAACAGAACATAGCTATAACGCAACAATTAAAGCATTTTATTTAAATTCATAGAGATGTTTGGGTACCACTTGACAATAAGACTCCCTCAGCTAATAAACAGTTTATAGATACATTATTATCTCCTCTATAAACACTTTATAAACCATTCATAATTGTTTATTATGCATTAATTAAGTATGACAGAGACACAAAACTGACCAGTTTCTTGCCAAATAGTGAGCCATATCAGTTCACCTTTATATTTCATCTAGAGTTGTTATATTACCGTATGTTTCAAACTTTAAGGCGCACTTAAAATCCTTTAATTTTCTCAAAAATATAAAGTGAGCCTTATAATCCGGTGCGCCTTATTGACCTCGAACAGATTTTATGTGTTACAAATGAACAATGTTGAGAGTTATTGTGAATCATTTGAATAAAGTTTGACTTATCTGACTGTTTTGTTTCGCTAAATGTGCCTTATAATCTGAAAAATATGGTAAACATGTCAGACTAAGTTACTACCTTGTAAGCACAATAAGCATTTGTAAACCTATTTTTTAGCATATAATATTGTACTTTATCACTGCATTGTAAGTATTTACAACTAATATTATATCCTAAAAATTTGGTTTAGAAATGCTTATTGTGATTACAAGGTAGTAACATAGTCTGAAATGTTTAGCATATTTTTCAGATTATAAAGCACACCAGATTATAAAATGCATCAAATTATAAGGTGCACCAGGTTATAAAATGCATCAGATTATAAAGCGCATCAGATTATAAAGTGCATCAGATTATCAAGTGCACCAGATTATAAAATGCATCAGATTATAAAGTGCATCAGATTATAAAGTGCATTGGATTATAAAGCGCATCGGATTATAAAGCACACCAGATTATAAAATGCATCAGATTATAAAGTGTACCAGATTATAAAATGCATCAGATTATAAAGTGCATCAGATTATAAG